GTCTCGCCTGTATTTATAGAACAACTACCCTGTGGACAGTGAATCTTCTCCCATTCTGATCCGCCAACGTTCCTTTATAACGATCCACTTCTAGGCATGAGGACAACTTCTTTCCATTGGGTCATTCACTCCTTGTTTGATGTCTCTGATAAATCTGCTAGTTACTCTCATATTTATAGTGTTTTTTGTGATGTGCCCACCTCTCTACTAGGAAGTGGACTGAGAATTACCCATTTTTTCACACAGATTACTTGAACCTCAAAAAATCCATTTCTAGGAAGTTGCACTACAAACTCTGAAGCAGTTTGTAATGAATCTGGCTTCAAGTGAGCCTGCCCTTCCCCTGTCTTGAATTCCAGTGACATAAAATACCTGCTTGGCCACGGCTCTGAAAGTTAATAAAGTTTCAGTGGTAAACTATGGGAGGCCTGAGAATTTCAAACTGAAGTTATTGCACCAGTAACTCAGAAAAGCAATTCCTAAAACTCTTGACACATTTATCCGGAGGGTTAGCAGTAGCCCAGAAATGGAAATCATTGTTGAAGGCCACTGTGTACTTGGAATTAAAATCCATCAGTCTTTTGAAATGGTGAGGAATGTTTTTCATGACATACAGATGTTCCTGCATTTTTCAGAGTAAATTATGTCCAAAGCTGGTTCATCCTGCTTGTAGAGAAATTAGTTATCTTTTAGAGATTAAAGGGACACCGGTGAGATGGCTTTAGTCTCCATATTTTTTTTAAAAAGGGATGGGTGGGAAAAGAGGTGGTTTAAAAAACTGCATATGAATAAAAATGCTTCCATTATTTGATTTGATTTTCTTTAATTTCAGTGAACACAGGATTCATTTTGCAGGCAATAGTAGGAGGAAGGATAAGATGTATATAGCTTTTATTGATTTAAAAGCTGCCTTTGACTCTTTTGATTGTCACTCCTTTGGCTGTGCCTGAAAAGCTATTGGTGTACCTGGAAAGCTCCTCAATCTTCTTGTAGAAATGCATTGCCAAAGTGAGAGCTGTGACTGCTTAGATTGTAGAATGTCCAATTGGTTTGAGCACAGCAGTAGCATCTGTCCAATGTGCGTGGCTGCCCCCAAATGATCTGTTCAACCCCATTATTGACCAAACGATGGAAGCCATCACTAGCTACATACCCGGGTGGTACTGCATGACTTCTGCATAATAGACCTGGAATATGAGAATGACATGGCTATATTTGCATCCTCATGAACTAATCTGATCAATGCCCTGAATTTATATGTGGAAGAAGCAAGTAAGCTTGGTCTTCAAGTCAACTGGTCTTCTACAATAAACTGATGAAGGTGGCTGATGGACCTCTATCCTACCCGTCGTAATTGATGGACAAGAAGTTGAATTAATCAATTCATTTGAACATCTTGGCTCTGTTGACACCAAGGAGGGAAGTTGCCTTGCTGACATGAAACATCAAATCAGCAAGGCTATGGGTGTTATGCACACTTTTGGGAGCCTGTGTAGTGTCAACACCACATATCAGCTCAGACTAAGATGTGTATCTATCAAGCAGCAGTGGCTTTTGTCCTTTTGTATGGCTCTGGGCCACCATAGGGATGCAAATGCACCAGCTGGGCACTTTCAAAATGAAGCAGCAATGATGTATTGAAGGCATATGGTGGTTTCATCACATTATAAACGAGGAGGTCAGGCATCAGACCAACCAGTCTCCAGCGTCTCCCAAAGTGATGGTGTTGGCTCAGGTAGTTTGGCCATCTGCTCCATATGTCGGAGTCCATACAAATTCTCTAGCTTTATGTTTGATCCAACAAAAGCTGGATGGAGAAAACTTGCACACAGCCTTGCTGGACGGATGTCATGGCTTCCAACTTTGCCCCCCTCAGCCTTAATATAGAGCAGGACGCAATCCTGGCAGGAGACTGGGCTCTCTGGAAATGGGTGATCCGAAGTGTGTACTCTACATTCCAGAAGCAGGAGAATAAATGAAGATTAGTTTGATGTAAATGTCATCTTATAGTAGAAGCCTCAAAACAAAACTATTGGGCTGGAGCATGATAACCAGAAAGTGAAACTGATCATAAACAAGAAATATAACTGACCAGTCTAGTGTCACTATTCATGCTGCGACGAGCAAAAAAGGACTTAAATGGCATTAATGCTTAAAAATAGATTTTTCTTATTTAAAAAAAAATCAGAGTTCAGTAATCTAAAGTGGTGTTAGTAAAAAGGGAAAAGAATTTAAGATGTTCTAGCAGACCCAGCACCTCCTGAGAACTTTGCAGTTGTCGTTGTGCAGCTTTCCATGGCCATCTGGAACCTTATAGTGACAATGGGGGATAGAACTCATATCTTCTTGCTCCAAAAGCACTGGCTATAACTATTGGAATTAAAGGCAAATTTATTTTAGTTATTAACAATGTAGGACCTGTGATACACAGTTAATCCATTAATCTGATTCTACACAACATGGGGCAGTGCTGCACACATGCATTATTATGAGTTCATTAAAATAAAGACTGTATCAGAGAGAGAGAGAGAGAGAGAGATGGTTTTATTTCCTTTTAGGGATACTGTCAAGCTGGTAATGTCTCTTGAAAAGTACATCAGCATTTGGGCAAGTTCTTATCTGGTTGCAGAATGCATGTAAATTGCGTTGTTTCTTTTCTCAAAAACATCTGCTCTGATTCTCTTTTTACTAAAGATAGATAAATTCCTGTGTCCAGCCCACTTGACAACACCATAATAACAAACCAACATGCAATGGAGCAATTCGGGATCTTGATAAGGAAACTTCTCTGTTTCAAGAGGCAGTAAGAAAAGAGCAACTGCTTCTAAACTTTCTTGCCACTGACCCCATTAAGTTAATCTGAAATAGTTATAATGTTCCTCAAAAATGCCTAATATTGCTGTTTCAAAGTGATCTAAAGAAGCACAATATTTTAAAAAAACAAAAACAATTGCAGCTGCAGTGTATTGGGAATTTTCTAACAGGCTTTATGGGACACCTGTTCTGATTGTCTCCAGATGACCAATTACAATAAGCTTAAAAGAAAATCTTATATGCTTTTATCCATTTTTTGTTTTGGTATCCTGGAATAATCTGTGAAAGGAGATTTAAGGAACCAGGGAAACTGGATGGCTTAGAGGCCTAAACAGCAGGGCTACAAAGTTTCTCATCTGTATTAATGGTCTGAATATGGCCAAATGGGTAGTGACCAAAAGTTACCATCATCGAGGGCACTGAACAGACTCACATGAAATGAGTTGGTGGGTCCAATCTAGCTCCTAGAGTATGGATATTCATGTCACAAAACATCCTTTGCAACTGGCATTAATTGGTGTCTTTATTGGCAACCTCTACACCAGGGGTGGGCAAACTACAGGCTGCATCCGGCCTGCCAGTCATTTTAATCCAGCCCTTGAGCTCCCACTGGGGAGCAGGATCTGGGGCTTGCCCGACTCCGGTGCTCCTGCCAGGGAGCAGGGTCAGGGGCCGATCTGCAAGGCTCCCGGAAGGAGTGGCATGTCTCCCCTATGGCTCCTACGCGTAGGGGCAGCCGGGGGCTCTACTCCGCACGCTGCCCCTGCCCCGAGCGCCGCCTCCGCAGCTCCCATTGGCTGTGGTTCTCAGCCTGTGGACAGGGCAGCATGCAGAAGAGCTGCCTGGCTGCACCTTCGTGTAGGAGCCGGAACGAGGACATGCTGCTGCTGCTGGGAGTCACTTGAGTTAAGCACCACCCAGAGCTTGCACCCTGACCCCCCTCCCACCCTCCAAACCCCTCAGTCCCAGCCTGAAGCACCCTCCCGCACCCAAAACCCCTCATCCCCAGCTCAACCCAGAGGCCGCACCCCTGCTGCTGCTGCCCCATCCCAGAGCCCCCTCCCACACCCTGAACTCCTCATTCTGGCCCCACCTCAGAGCCTTCACCCCCAGCCAGAACCCTCCCGCACCCCAACCCCAATTTCGTGAGCATTCATCGTCGTCCATACAATTTCCATAGCCAGATGTGGCCCTCGGTCCAAAACGTTTGCCCACCCCTGCTCTACACAGTGACCAAGGGTGTTTATACCTGTCCTGTAGACATACAATGTCAGGACCAAATATGGGGTCATGTGCTAAGATGCTGAAAGTTACATGTTAAGTAAGTGCCACGGTATCTAAGTAAGTGTAACTTTGATGCTGAGTGGCTGGGAAAGTGGGGTGCAGGAGCAAAAACAACAAGTAGAAGGGTGAGAGGTATGCATGTAAGGGATGGTCTTTAATTTTCTTCCAGCCTTTCAGTGAATACATTATGCCAAGATAGACTCAGACTCCACTGTTCCCACTTACACTTGCTTAGCAACATGTAACTTACATTGTCTTACACATAGACTATTTGACCCATAGTCTCCAGGGCCATAGTCTAGTTAAAAGAACAAACTAAGGGAACAGTACAGACAGGGAAATGGGCCATTTTAATTTTAAAACTCATACACATTTGGAGTTCCAACCAGCCACACAGAAGCAAAATGCATTACATCAAACAGATATAAAGTCTGGGAAATACAGCTATTCAGCAAGCCCCTGAGAATAACTTATTGCCTGAATCTGTATAACAGACTTTGTTGGTGGAAGGCAGGAAGAAGTGGTATTTAGAGAAGGCGTGCATGTGTGTGACAGATTTCACAGCTCACTTTGCAAAGGAAGTTGGGCTCCTTTTAAACAGCCGCAAGACATCTGCAAGTGATGTCAGAGCTGCGAAGTGTGGCAGATGAGAGAGAGAGAGAACCCATCATTAGCAGATGATGTTCATATGTCATGACATCTCCGCTTTGTGGAAATTTTTTTCTTAGAGGTTTATTTTTGCAGTTGAAGGAAGCAAAGGCCAGTGGTGGGGCATCATAGGGGGACAGTATGATAAGGCATGGGTGGACCTGCTATGTTTGGACATGTGCTTCTTGTAAAATAGCCTCCTTTCTTACCACTCTTGTCCTGTGTTGTTTCCTTTTGCTTTGTGACGAGATCAGATGGGTGCTTCTGCAGAAGAGAGTTGGACACCTTAAGAAACCTTTTCGAATCTCTCTGGAATATGTTGCTAGTGGGAACAGGAGCGTAGCAGCCATGGACTCCTTTGCAATGAGGAACTGCAGTGCAGGTAATGTAGAGTATTCCATTCTTTCTAACTCATGTCTTGTTACCTTTTTAGGCAAAAAAGTTTTTGTCAGTAATACAAATCTTCTTCATATAGTAGAAAGTTCTATTGCAGCTAACTAAGTCACCCCTAAGCGTTCAGTGCAGTACAAGATATTTTAGTTTTCTGGAAAGTTTAATGATAGCACTTCCATTAAATACGTATCATTAATTCAAGCCCTTCACTTCAGTGTTTCACCCCAGAGGTGGCCACATTTCAATTTAGCTGTATGTATGCGGTTTGTGAGTCATGTTGGAATCCTCAGGCATTCTATGTAAATGAGGAGTATTATTAGTGGTAGTACTTAGCCTATTGGTCTTTGTGGATTTTATTAAAATATGTCTAGAAAATAAGTATTAGGAAAATTGGTGAAAGTTGATTTAAACATCTTCCTTTTTCAAACTCTCCAGGACAGAGAAATCTATTTATGACTGTACATAATTTTGGTTATTATTTGTATGGCCATGCCCAAAAGCGCAGTTATAATTAGAGCCTTGTTGTGTTAGCGCTGTACAAATACATAGTAAACTGCTATCAGTTCCAGGCAGAGCGAACCCGTGGTGCTGAACATGCAAGGTACATCCGGGCGGAATGGTCCTGCTGTGCTGCTGAATGTGTAGTACTGTATAGACTCTATATCCCAATGAAGATAATGGAGAACCGCAGCACAGCTGGTTCAAGTAGAGGACTGTGCTCAGCAGTGTCAAGGTTAAAAAGAATGTATTTTTAGGCACCGAAGAAAAAATAAGAGGGGGATGATGCTCATTCAAACACCTAGGTGCTTCAATAATTAGTTTCAACAAGAAAAGCTACCCCATGATTTCATGACACGAAGGTAAACTGTGGTGAAGTCCTTAACACAATTAATATTAACAACAAGGGGGGAGAAACACAAGCCAAAATAGGGAAAGAACAAGTTAAAGAATATTTAGATATGGTAGATGTATTGAAGTAGGTAGGGCTTGATGAAATTCATCCTAGGGTACTTTAGGAACTAGCTAAAGCAATCTTGGACCCATTAGTGGTCATCTTTTGAGAACTCCTAGATGACGGGTGAGACTGGAGAAGGGCAAACATAGTACCTATCTTTAAAAAAGGGAAATTATGGTGACCAGCTGTCTAACTTCAATACCTGGAAAGATACTGGAACAAATTATTAAATAATCTGTTTGTAAGCAGCAAGAGGGTAATAGGGTTGTTAGTAATAGCCAACATGGATTTGTCAAGTATAAATCATGGCAAACCAACCTAATTTTCCCCTTTGACAGGTTTACTAGCCTAGTGGATGGGGGCAGCTGTAAATGTGATATATCTTGATTTTAATAATGCTTTAGACACAGTCCCCCCTGACATTCCCATAAGCAAACTAGAGAAATATGGTTTAGATTAAATTACTGTAAGATTGGTGCAAAACTGGTTGAAAGACTGTGCTCCAAGAAGAAAAGGAGTACTTGTGGCACCTTAGAGACTAACAAATTTATTTGAGCATAAGCTTTCGTGCGTGAGCTGTAGGTCACAAAAGCTTATGCTCAAATAAATTTGTTAGTCTCTAAGGTACCACAAATACTCCTTTTCTTTTTGCGAATACAGACTAACATGGCTGCTACTCTGAAACCTGTGCTCCAAGAGTCATTATCAGTAGTTCACTGTCAAACTGGGAGCATGCATCTAGTGAAGTCCTGCAAGGATCAGTCCTGGGTCTGATACTGTTCAATGTGTTTATTAATGACTTCAATAATAGAGTGGAGAATATACTTCTAAAATTTATGAATGATGCCAAGCTGGGAGGGGTTGAAAGCACTTTGGAGGTCATGTTTAGAATTCAAAATGAGCTTGGTCTGAAATAAACAAGATGAAATTCAACAAAGACAAGTGCAAAGTATTACATTTAAGAAGGAAAAATCAAATGCAAAACTACAAAATTGGGAATAACTGGCTAGGCAGTAGTACTGCAGAAAAGGATCTGGGGGTTATAATGGATCACAAATTGAATATCAGTCAACAATGTGATGCAGCTACAAAAAATGCTAATATAATTCTGGGGGATTGTGACCTCCCCAGGATACAAACTGGACTTTTGAACAGTGGTGCCCTCTTAATTCTCCAGACTAAGGTGTCTCTCACACTGCTTTGCTAGTGAAAAGCAGCCTCTCCAGGCTTTGCTCCCATACAGCCGTCAGCATGTAAAGGCACACCCAAAGTTACATGAATGCTTTCTCAGCCAATCATGAACAGATACATGGCAACACATGCATATCCCTCAGCCCCAGCCTTGCAAGCCAGAAATGTGCTGCTTACACTGCTCAAGACCCCCTTGGACAGTGTAAGCTCATAAGTCTATCATTTTATCAAAGAAAATGAATATGCACCAGCCCTTTTTAAACTGAGCAGAGGTTCCCCCAATCACTTCAATCAAAACACACTGGTTTAGATGAAAGAATAAAGCAAGTTTATTAACTGAAGCAAGCTAGCTAGATTTTAAGTGAGGATAAGTGGTACAGCCATAAAAGGTCAGAACTGGTTACAAAAGAAATAGTCTTATTCCTAAACCTTTACCAAGCTAAGAAAAATTTTAAGTGAATAGCTTTTTTCACCACTTTGAATGTTGCAAGCAGTTCTTGGTTATTAGTACACAGGCTGGATTCGCTTCCCTGCCTGGAACCAATCTCCCCAGTTCAAAGTCTTTCACCCATTCTTGTTGCATTAGAGATGGCGGGGGGGGAGGGAGGAGGAGAGAGAGAGGTGGCCAGAGGCCTTTGTTCCCCCTTTTTGTATCCTGACACTTTTTACTGGAAAAGTCCTTGCTGGGTTATGTGGTCAGGCAGTTCCATAGCATGCGTGACCTGCCGGCTGTCCTTCAGGTGAACTGTACATTTCTTGTTTACAACTCTCCTGCTGATGAATGACAAGTTAAGCAGTCAATGGTCTCTTAGCACCTGGCTGGGTGATGGCCACCCCTTTGTTGTCTCTGAAGAGCTAGACTGTGGGTGTTCCCCAGAATTACAACCTGCTCCAGTTACAAACATATAGCAAAATCTAATATCATAGAATCATAGAATATAAGGGTTGGAAGGGACCCCAGAAGGTCATCTAGTCCAACCCCCTGCTCGAAGCAGGACCAATTCCCAGTTAAATCATCCCAGCCAGGGCTTTGTCAAGCCTGACCTTAAAAACCTCTAAGGAAGGAGATTCTACCACCTCCCTAGGTAACGCATTCCAGTGTTTCACCACCCTCTTAGTGAAAAAGTTTTTCCTAATATCCAATCTAAACCTCCCCCACTGCAGCTTGAGACCATTACTCCTCGTTCTGTCATCTGATACCATTGAGAACAGTCTAGAGCCATCCTCTTTGGAACCCCCTTTCAGGTAGTTGAAAGCAGCTATCAAATACCCCCTCATTCTTCTCTTCTGCAGGCTAAACAATCCCAGCTCCCTCAGCCTCTCCTCATAACTCATGTGTTCCAGACCCCTAATCATTTTTGTTGCCCTTCGCTGGACTCTCTCCAATTTATCCACATCCTTCTTGAAGTGTGGGGCCCAAAACTGGACACAGTACTCCAGATGAGGCCTCACCAATGTCGAATAGAGGGGAACGATCACGTCCCTCGATCTGCTCACTATGCCCCTACTTATACATCCCAAAATGCCATTGGCCTTCTTGGCAACAAGGGCACACTGCTGGCTCATATCCAGCTTCTCGTCCACTGTCACCCCTAGGTCCTTTTCCGCAGAACTGCTGCCTAGCCATTCGGTCCCTAGTCTGTAGCTGTGCATTGGGTTCTTCCGTCCTAAGTGCAGGACCCTGCACTTATCCTTATTGAACCTCATCAGATTTCTTTTGGCCCAATCCTCCAATTTGTCTAGGTCCTTCTGTATCCTATCCCTCCCCTCTAGCGTATCTACCACTCCTCCCAGTTTAGTATCATCCGCAAATTTGCTGAGAGTGCAATCCACACCATCCTCCAGATCATTTATGAAGATATTGAACAAAACCGGCCCCAGGACCGACCCTTGGGGCACTCCACTTGATACCGGCTGCCAACTAGACATGGAGCCATTGATAACTACCCGTTGAGCCCGACAATCTAGCCAGCTTTCTACCCACCTTGTAGTGCATTCATCCAGCCCATACTTCCATACAACATATACAATGTTGATACACACATTTTAACAGGAAAATGATGCTCAATTGATACTCAGAAGGCATATTTTGTACAAGGTTTATCATAATTTTGTAAAAGTGGTGACCAGAGTAATGTAGACTGTCACAGGTATATTAACGGGCGTGACGTATGCAAGACATGGGAGGTAATTGTTCCACTGTACTCAGCATTGGTGAGGCCTCAGCCATAATACTGTGTCCAGTTCTGGGCACCATCCTTTTGGAAAGATGTAGATGAACTGGAGAGATTCTACAGGAGAGCAACAAAAATGATAAAAGGTTTACAAAACCTGTCCTATGAGGAAGGGCATATTTAGTTGTGAGAAAAGAAGTCTGAGGGGGGACCTGATAAGTCTTCAAATATAGTAAGGGCTGTTAAACAGAGGACAGTGATCAACTGTTCTTCATGTCTACTGACAGTAGGACAAGAAGTAATGGGCTTAATCTGCAGCAAGGGAGATTTAGGTTAGCTACTAGGGAAAACTTTCTAATTATAAAGATAGTTGAGCACTGGAATAGGCTTCCAAGAGAGGTTGTGGAATCCCCATCACTGGGTTTTTGAACAGCCCACATAACATGTTGCTGCCCACAATTGTAAATAGGTTGAGAACCACTGGGTTAGACAAACCCCTATCAGGGATGGTCTAGGAGGTTTACTTGATCTGGCCTCAGCATTGGGGGCTGGACTTGATGACCTCTCAAAGTCCCTTCTAGTCCTATCTGTCTATGATTCTATGATAACCTGCTGGTACTGATTCAGATTATATTTTCACAAGCTGTCCTTTTCTGGAGCTAACAGTCC